GTAAGCTGCTCGAGCCTTGGAAATGCAGGCGGTTACTTCATTGACTATGATACTGTCATTTGAAACGCAACTACCTAAGTAGGTGAAACATTCCACTACAGCTAATTCTTGACCATCAAGCATCAGCACTGGGGTGGACGACACCCAGTCTAGTAGCATCAATTCGCACTTCGAAGGTGCAAAGCGCATGCCGAAAGGAGATACAAAACTTGCCAGTCCGTCAAGAGCGCATTGCGCATCCTCCATAGATTCGAACAGGCATACGATGTCATCGGTGTACTCTAAATCGCACCGCACTGCCCATTCAATACCTACGTTTTGGAGACCAGTTCTCCAGTACTTCGTCTACGACAAAATTGAACAGGAATGGCGAAATAGGGCACCCTTGACGTACACCGCTCCTGGTTTCGAACGATTTACTTACCCCACCGTAGACCCTTACGCTGCCAGGTTCATGCATTACAGCCGGATAATATCACTCTTTCCCCGTCTGACCGATGCTGCACCTCACTACACATTGATCGCATCCGCATCCTTCATTCGCATGCGGCTACAAACTCTCAGTGTGACCTTGTCCGTCCTGATGCACGCCCACATCATTTGCATGTCCCAGTTTGCTTCGCTTTCGGGCTATTGCAACAGCACACTGACACACACACATGAGAGAGAGAGGGAGAGCAGATTACCTCATCCGGAGCCACTCCTTTGCTTCTTCATAGTCCGCATCATAATTCGAGTCATTATTATTCCGCCACGTGAACTTTGTCGACTATTTCGCTCGCTCGCTCGCTCTCTCCGCAGCGCGGTTGTTTGTATCATCTCCGTGGGCCAAAGAGCAGAACAAATCAGATGCTGTGTACTCTCTCGCGCAGGCTTGGATGGTTATCAAAATGCGTGCTGGTCTAATATCACGCATACGAAGCGCGCGCACACACACACACATTAGCATATGCATTCTGTTGATCGTAACGGGGAGGGGTTAGGGTGCTACGTCCGTCGGATCAACTCGAACCGACCGGAAAATTGTTTGAGTGGGGGAAATGAGTGTGTGTGTATGGGCGAGTAAGCACTTTCCGGTTTGGCACAAACGGCTCAGTCGTGATGTGTATGTGCTTGTGTGTGTGCGTATGTGCTCACCGAAATAGACGAAAAATAGCAACCCACACAGGTCACGGGTTTGCGCTTGAGGTCAATGCCGGAAAAGGTCCACACCTAGACCCCAGTTCGTGGTGCAAAAGAATGCACTTATGCAGAACAGGACGGCACAGTTCAATCCAAACCAGTCGGAATTTGGGGCCTGTTTGTTTATCAGCATATATCTGAGAGTCTGTGGTAAATAAGCTTATACAGTTTAAACCCGCGATAGAATCGCATTCACAGTCGTTTTTTGTCCATGGAACACAACAAATGACCGGGGATGGTCACCAGATTGAATGGAGGAAATGTGCTAACCTGACACTATTCCCTTTTTTTGTCTGTAGTGATAGTTTTGTCCAAAAAGACTAAAAACTAAGAACAACTGAAGTTCGTTTAAATTTTACACCAATACCAGTGTGTGAACAAAGTTCATCCGAGAATAAAAGTATTACATACACTACGCTCAATCTATCTCAAGTCAAGTCAAGTCAAGTCAAGAAATCGCTTTATACACCTCGAAAAGTGGATAGTGAGCAACCACATAACCACTGCGTGTCAACAAAAAGTGAAAAAAACCATTATAGTGCAAAAATTAAAAGACGTGAAAACGGACAGCAACATCATGGCATACCTAGGTGTTTATGATTGATTTAGTCTAGCATTTTGCGCAGATTTGCTGCAACGAGTATGTGGTTCGTTAGAAATCTGGCGAGATACGAGACCATAGAGCGCATGTAAGCTTCAATGTGTGTCTTTATACCCGTTCGTGAATGGAACGGGTGGATGAGTAAGAAAGACACTGACTGAGGGCGAAATAAAGAGGATGGGAAATATCAGATAAAATCTTGTTGGAGAATGTTTTACAGGACTTGATGTGATGTGTGACTATATACTGTACCAGATGTTCCCGTAGTATGAGACTACATACCGATAGAAACTTGAGGGATCGGGAAATGAGTTTGAGGTCCTTGTTAAAAAGACCAGGGAAGTTAACAGTGGACCAATAAAGCCGGTGGGGCAAAACGCAAGCAAAAACAAAATGCCTAATGAGATGGTTTGGGATAGAGAAAGTGATTTAAGACGGAAANAACCATTATAGTGCAAAAATTAAAAGACGTGAAAACGGACAGCAACATCATGGCATACCTAGGTGTTTATGATTGATTTAGTCTAGCATTTTGCGCAGATTTGCTGCAACGAGTATGTGGTTCGTTAGAAATCTGGCGAGATACGAGACCATAGAGCGCATGTAAGCTTCAATGTGTGTCTTTATACCCGTTCGTGAATGGAACGGGTGGATGAGTAAGAAAGACACTGACTGAGGGCGAAATAAAGAGGATGGGAAATATCAGATAAAATCTTGTTGGAGAATGTTTTACAGGACTTGATGTGATGTGTGACTATATACTGTACCAGATGTTCCCGTAGTATGAGACTACATACCGATAGAAACTTGAGGGATCGGGAAATGAGTTTGAGGTCCTTGTTAAAAAGACCAGGGAAGTTAACAGTGGACCAATAAAGCCGGTGGGGCAAAACGCAAGCAAAAACAAAATGCCTAATGAGATGGTTTGGGATAGAGAAAGTGATTTAAGACGGAAAACATAAATCATGAGCCCCCAGAACTTCAAAAAAAACGTCATTAACTTGGTCAGAGCAAGTGAGGTTTCGGTTGGAAATAACGCGAAGGTACTTGACAGATTCATTCCTTCATTCTGTCTGGTCGCTGAAGATAGATAAAGGCTGACTGGCATTTGATAATTCATCATACTTTTGCTCTTTCAAACTGAAAATATTGCGTTATAACATGTTGGGGGTTAATGTGGAGGTTCGTTTGTTGAGACCACTCAACTATTTCTGACACATCTTGCTGTCGAATGGTTTGAAAAGATCAGTTGGGGTACGGCAGTTTGAATATTAAATCGTCCGCATACTTAACAAGAAGAGAAGAATTGCTCACACGCATACATCGTTGACTGGTGTAGCTCCGTGATCAGGACGATAAAGTTCAAAGCTCTCTCTTACACACAGAGTGTAGTTTGATCGAAAACTCACACGGGCGACGAGACCCGCAAACGGGAAGAAGCAGCTTCCCGCTGTATTACGCTGACCAGTATGACAATGTAGTGAACACAAAATGCGATGGGAATGCAGTGCGGAAAATAAACGAGCTCCAAAGGGGGAACCCTGTACACAAATACTATTTTACATGTGATTGAAAATGGATTTAATGATAGCTATCCTTGTTCGTATCACGTGAAGAGCCTCCAAACCCCGTTTGTAAGTGCCCATACATTTGTTCACAGCCCAGATGCTCTGTTGATTGCTGAGCAAATCTATCTACTCACCGAGAGAATTGTGAAATTAATCAAATCGAATGTTTCCATGCCCCTTATCAACATGAATTTGGTACAAGAAAAGCCTTTATTGAGAGGAAAATTTATGAGAACCTGGTAACACTCACTTTGTGTGGTGGTCTTTATGGTTAACCAGGATTGATGTGTACTCCTGGAAAGTTTATGCCCAACTGCTTGAAAACAGTCTTATCAGTTCCACCAGGTTTTGATATCCTTTTATGCTTTAAATGATCCAAGCAGTGTTCAACTTTATCTACTTATAGCAATCTAGTTCAATGAAATTATGAAATCTTCCCACTAATGTTCTGGGGCATTTTTATCGATTCTTTTGAACAAAATGCGATTGCCTACGCATTCCCGACAGCGAAACCTATTCAGTAGTTAACAAAAATAACGTTTTTTATCTGTAATTCCCGGGATGATTGTAACATTCTATCCACAATGATAATGGCAACAAACTACCACATTCAGCTTCTCCCTTCGTTCCTCAGCTTAGGTTCTTATCCTTATTAGATCTTTTCATAGCCTGACTGCATCTGTGCGATTCCTAGTTATAGTTTATAGTTATTGAGACAGGTAGTGATAAGAATGAGTCACAGTTATCCATGATCTCACAAGCGATGATAATTATGCACCGGATGCTTTATGTGGTATTAAGTAGAGGTAGGTAAACTATTCCATTTTGTATTGACCGACCGCTTTTTCTGTCTGAGGAAGAGTTGCCTCCATTGACAAATTCATGAAGAATCCGGAAGAAATTTTACAAAGGGGCCTCCGCGGTGCCACCGAGTGTCGTCCGATAAGAGAAAAAGGTTCAGTGACACTGCGGATGCCACTTGGCAGCATATTTTCCGGATGTGTATGGTACCACAAAACGTTTTGTACACAAACTATCCAGTTGGATGCGATTGGTTGGATTCACTTTAAATTGCAACGGATTCATTCGAAGTTACGGTGGAGTCAATTGAGATAAGAACGGATTTAATTAAAGTTGCAAAAGTATAGTCCTGTACTTTGTGTTGTAATGAGATGAATAGGACACACTCAAACACGAGCTTGTTTGTCAATTTTGTATTCATTGTGTACTTTGTGGGACTGTTTGAACAAATGAAGTACAACAATCAGTGGAACAACAGAACAGATTAAATTAGGATATCTCATTCACAAGGGATCAGTTTTGACTCACATTTTGGCGAAGATTTTCTTCAAATACGATTGGGAAAAATGCATACTCATCATGTTCTGAATAGAAAAATACAGCATCGACGGTGTATACAAACAGTGTGCGTTGTACTGGAGATGACCACTTTGTGGAATAATACAAAATTACAGTGTATATTTGAATGAATTTAAAATACAGGAATTCGTTACTTGGCTGGTAAGTGACATTCCAACTCCAAACGAGATATCACGTTTTACCCCATTTTGGAAGTTGATGATATACTTAGAATGATTGAAAAACGATAATTCCACTCTTTCGTTTTCACTCATCGAAAGCCCCTTGTTAGAATGTGAGGATGCTACGCACAGAGACTTACCAACCAGTTTCCGAAAACCCCATCCACAAATGTATCGACCACGTGAAAAATATCCCCTTCCGAAATGGATATCTCGCCCGGTTCCGATTGAGCTGCTCGAGGTGTTTGGGCTGTGTTGGGCCACAGTGTAAAATACGCACGTACATACATACTGTCACAGGCCTCCCTTGTCTCCCGCACGGTCACATAGGCGACCGGATCGTGTCGCAATTCGAGCACGACTGGACCGTCCTCGGCAATCAGGGCCAGTGCGACCTCTTCTTTGGTCCATTCGGTCAAATCGAGACCGTTTATCTGTGAACCAGAAGTCGGGGGGAGGAGGAGGAGAAACGATGAGAAAATGCAATTTCCTTTTTAAACTACACACCTATGTGTGATGAATAGCAGACGGGATGGAACTCCATAGTCAAGAAGACATGCTATTCAGTGGTGGAAACCGGCAACCTAAGCCCCGCGGGACTTGGAGTGGCGAATCACATAAGGCCCCAATAGGAACGACACTGCTATGCTGCGAATGAATTAAAGACAAATTCATCGTATTCGCGGGGGCCCAGTGAAAAGATTTGCAGGCACCACGTACGGACGGACAAAATGGGTGACGCATTCCAGTCTTCCTTGCCTTGCAGATGTGAAGAAATTTTTCAGAATATAAGAATAACTGGTGTGATGAAATTGTTATGATCATGTTACGTTGCCACGGTGATGCAAGATTTGATTTGATTTCACCTTAAATTTGTCCTGTAAATGAAGTTTGAACTTAGAGCAAGGAAGAACAGCGAGCTCCACCACCACTGTCATGCTACATACAACCAGGTTCGGAATAACTTCCAACCAAGTCATGACCCTGGAGGTCAGTGAGTGCTGAGATACGCGAGTTCTGTTGTCCGTATTCTGCTTGCAAAAGGTTCCTTGCTTTCGACCTGTAAGGTACCGGGTTCGATGGGTCAATGGATTCGCGTACTGCTAACGAGGTCCAAATAGGTCGTGAGCATTTGTTTCATTCTGCCCAGCTTTGTCGCGGACACTTTGTTTGCACGACAAATTTCTCATCTAATCATGATCGTGTTCAACACAACACACAGTAGAAACATCACATATACACAAACACAAACGGGATTTAAGGTTGGTTCAAATAACTGAAGTAGACTAATCGATTCCACATGTCAATCCACATGATCCGTTTTTGAGCTAAAGCAGAGCCAGATTCAAATCCTGGGGCATAAAAAGATTAGTTCCAACGTCTTTGTGTTTATTCAGTACAATGAAAAGTTGGAGATCCTAGTTTCGGCTCGGACACAGATCAAGAGCGGAATGACATTGCCCGAATGTGTGTACGGATATAGAGAAGTACGGAGATGGAGACAAACGTAATTTTTACCTTCATTAATTGATCCGCTTCCCCAATCCCGGCCTGATCAGCCACTGAGTCCGGTTGCACGCTGGAAACAAAAACCCCGGTCAGATTGCCACCAACCAGACTCATTCCGGTCCCTCGATGTGGATCAATTTGAAATCGTACGGATCGTATCCGACTGGTAGAATCCGATTCCACTCCACTGACCGGCCGAGTTTCCCTGACCCGTGATCTGTCGACTAGATCAGGCGGGAAATAGAAAATGCAGAGGAAAGAAAGATTGGAGTGAATAGTACCACTGATCGATAATATTGATGATTTACTCCCAACTGCATTTCGTAATTAATGGTATTTTCCACTAGTTCAGTTGACCTTGTTTGATGATTATCAACAATTTATAAAGGTGTATCCAATTAAGAAAAACATTAAAAACTAATGTTCGAAAATACAGCTTGATTTAAGTTTTTTTTATATACTAGTCCTGAAAGTTGTCTACCAGCCAAATTAGGCCACGGTGATGGAGTTCTCGCATCTTGAACCCTGGGGGACACAACTGATGTCAACTTAAACCTTCGAAATTCCATCATCACCACCACTACCATCATCGTCATCATCATCACTACCACCACCACCGTCACTACTACGACCGAAACTACGAGAACTCCACTATTTCAGGTCATTCTCTAGGCAGTATGCAGTTCGCGAAAACAGATCAGAAAGCAGTTTGTCTCAACCCGTGTGATCTCTGTCTCTCCCTCTCTCTCACTGTCAAAACGCATCCTGAAACACTCATGGCAGTAGAGGTGATTAAGCTGCACACAGTTCATAAAAAGGATGAACAACTGTTATGCTCTCTTCACACAACTTTGCAATACCGTGTTGCTGTATTTTTCATCTGACAGAGGTATCTCACCCAGGGGAATTTCACGTGTTAGTCTACCTCGACCACGCGGGCCTGTAATTGTCTCATTTGAAGTGGAATAATCATTCGATAGATCGAGCGTATCCGCCAGGTTGCCCCACTGATCATCCGCACCGTGCCACGAACACAGATGTTGTCCCGGGGCGATCAGATTCGACCACGAACGATGATGCGGTGGCTGTGCTCGGTTGTGTTCGGGGCGTCCGGCTCGTTGCATGCGCGGACCGTCTGTGTAGGCAAACAGTCGTGCACGGGGCTGACCACGCATATTCGACCGAGAGAGGCGGTTTTCATCCGAGGTGGACGATTCAAACAGTTCATCTAGCAAACAGAATGGAAAAGATGGTGAGTTGTTTGTTAAATAAATTGAAATAAATTATCCTCACCAAGGTGCAAGAAAGTTATCCACATCCACGGGTGATGGATAATGAATGAGTAGAAACGTTTTCCATCTACTGCACTTGATCGGGATTTTTGTAACCCAATTCGGACGTGTTTGTTGCCATCCTCAATTTCTTTTATTCTGCTGTGATGTAACGTTTGGGCATACTATTTACACTGTGGTATTACATCACATTACATATATAAAATTTAAATACACCCATATTTATACTTGTGTGGATAATTTTGTTCAGTCAGGCAGAAAATGCTTGTATTGACAAATATTCTGACACGACACTTAAGTCATGTTTTCTTGCGGTTCGTAGTACCTAACTCACCTAAAGGACATCGAATAATAGTTTCAGTTGATACAACCATTAACCAAGCACTTTCGTGTGCCGATTTTGGTTGCTGCCTTTTGGCCGACCAGTTGGATGAACAGGAGGAGAAAGATAGGAAGGTTGAAAGTGGAGTCGAACAGAAAATGATGCAATAAAGCGGACTAATGTTGCAAAGATATCGAGAATGGTGCGCGAACGCCACTGTTTGCGACACGCAGCCGTATCACTCAATGTGTCTAACCACCGGTTTCGATCATCCCGGGACCCCTATCCAGGGAGCTTAAAGGGGACCTATATGACCGAGTCTCCTGGTTAGGGTTCTCATACCCTCATACCAGGTCGTAGCTTGATCACCCTTGGCTTTGTCCATCTCCCACTACCTGCCTCGGCGAAAATCACGCACCATGGCAACCAATTTGGCGGCCTGCGTAACACATACCCCAACCAATGTAACTTTGTGGTAGATGCGATTATGGAAACAGCCCTATCCTCGTGCAAGGATAGTAACATCGATTTGCTTCCAGGTGGCAGACCGTCTGATCTGGAGTAGATAGACGACATTGTGCTGCTAAGTGAAGCTTTTCTGGATAGCTTGATTGACATGTTCGGTATGCGTTTTGCACCTTAAAAGTGTAAAATGTTGCTACAAGATGCGGTTGGTACAGCATCCAGCTTCCTCCCAACTGGGGAAGTAATAGAGCAGGTGGATAAGTTTTGTTATTTGGGCAGCCACACCTCACCCGGTGGACGCATCACGGATGAAGTGTCAGCTCGCATACAGAAGGCTTGGTTGGTATTTGCCAACATAAGATATCACACTGGTGATTCATAAATGAACGGGATCCGAAAGGCCTATCCAGACAAATTTACCCGGGGCTACAAAGATGTTTGTGTCTCTGTAACAAGTATATGATTGAACTGTTCACAGAATACTATATACGAATGCTTGACGAGCGGAAAGAGTCACAAAAATGGGTAACTTGCCTGCAGGGAAATTTTGTTGAATATGCTACTTATTCTAATATATATTTGTATATATTTCTACATATATGAAGGTGAGAATTCCTGCAACCGTTTAAGTTTCCACAATCAATGATCATCTTCTAATGTAATTTAGACCATCAGGTGGATGAACAATATATATATATATATAATTACAATCCTAAAGTAAAAAAATTTATTATTTCCTAATATTTATTGAGCATCGCATTGTATGATCAGCATTCAACAAGAGGCTATGACCAATTACGGGGTTATCACAGGAAGCACACGAAAAGGGAGCAATTAACCATTGGATGGTTCTCACAAAGCCGCATACCCCATCTGCAATTGTAATTAATCCCACGCGTGAACGGTGATGTGAATTTTCTCCTCACTCAAAACAATTCCCGGTTCGATACATCCGCAGACATGTTTGGGTGATGCATCGCAAAAAAAGTTCGAAACTAATTTGTGTCCGGTTTTTTTCCATTGTGCACTATTTTAGGCAATAATCTATGTGTTACATAATCAATTCTACGAGCCCGCCCTCCCCCCCCTCCCTGGCAACTATTCTGACTTCATTCTCCGGGTTGTTTGATGATTTGACACTGTTGATCACAAGCAAACCAGGATACTCTTTATTCACCACTTTGTTCTTACCATCAAACTGGTCCTCCCTTTTCTCACCATACTGTACATTCTTATCCTCATGGTATTCGCTTTTCGCAGACTAGGCGTAAGCGATCGGGGCATTCAATTCCGCATTTGACTTACAGTTACTTCACCTTGACGCACAATCCTCAGTTCAACAATACAACCATACATTCGGAAGTACTGGACTCGAGTTTCGCTCTTATTGGAGCTCATCGGTAATGCATATCCACCGTTCCACCGTCCGGGATTTGAACTCCGGACCCATCGGGTATGCAAGACGTGTGCGTTACTACTGTGCCAACCAGCTCATGCCATGGCTGAAACCAATTGCCAATTCATGTTTTTTCAGGTATAGTCTTCAGTGACAGTCAGTTCATATTGGCCCGACAGCTACGAAGGGAGACACAGATGACATATTGTTAACTCCAATCGAAATACTGATGAGCTCCCATGAGAGCGAAACTTGAGTAGTCTAGTTTCAGTTTCAGTTTGAACAACCATTAACCACGCACATTCGAGCCCCGGTTTTGGTTGCTGTCTTTTGGCTGCCCATTTGGATGAAGAATAGGAGAAGAGCAGTCTAGTGCTCTCGAGTGTATGATTAAATCGATGAACTGCGGATTGTGCATGAAGGTGAAGTCCGAAGGATAGTCAGCTGAAATCAATAAAGCATTCAATTCCGTTTGGAGCCCAACCTTCAGGGATTAACCACCCGACGCTTACCTGTAACCGCATGTACCAGCACATACACGCACAGTTGATCAAGTTAAAGACACCTAACGATGCCTCATCAATCAGTCACCTCAGAAGAATTTTATCTCGTCTCTCTATATTTTTGAGCAAACTCTATATTTATAGTGCCAACTCAATGGATTACTTAGGCGACCTCTTTTCTCGTGGAATACTGTTTTTATCCCTTCGATTGGGCAAGTTCGTCGCAATAGTTAGCAGTAAAGTTTAGGTTCAACCCGATTCCAGGACAATGGAATGACTATACCTTTTCAACTTTAAGTGGATCCAACCAATCGCGCTTCATTTGGAACCCCACACGATGATTGGTGTTTCAGTCGTCAAATGTCACCGACTGGACCGGGTCTGTCTAAACCCCGTCCATTTTCAATGATCTAAGTTCTCCTTAAACAAACAGGAGTACTTTTGGCTTGAGTTACCGAGCGAGACGAAGACAAGATCGCTAATTACAAAGGACAGCACAACACAACGACAAAGAAAGGGAACAACAGAGGATGAAGATTTCGGTGGGGTGGGCCGTTCTTCGAAAGTCAATTCAATTGATTTGAAAAAGGCCTCACAAGAGGGTCGAAAAATGTTCAACTGGAAAATTGTTGTCCATTGGTTTTCTCTCATTGTGGCCAATCCCAACATTCCTATTCGGATCTATTGCTCAGAGCACGACGCACAATTTCTTCAAAGATATCCGACTCAAACGTACCTGTGTTTCTTTTCGGAGAAGTGAGTTTATTCGGACTGAACGGGGTTTAGACAGACCAGATCCAATCGGTGACATTTGATGGCCGAAACACCAATCATCGTATGGGGTTCCCATTGGAATGCAATTGATTGGACTCACTTGAAGTTATAACAGATTCAAATGAAGTTGAAAATGTATGGATACAAGTGTACTTAGGGCTCAAGGAGTGCCGTTAAAAGCGGTTTGGTTAGTTTCTGTGGCCACTCTAAGTACTTGGCAGTGCAATCGTGTCGAGGCGCTTCTCCTATTGCATTTATTTTGGCATAAATCGATTGTATTTGTCACTCTTACTGTCTGATATCCAAACAATTCGAACCACCTGATGCCTGGAAGTTACACTGGGATGTGTTCGGTTGAATTGTACTCTTTCTATAACGGATTTCCCGCCGTGACCATGACGCTCACATTGAAAGCACGTAGTTAGGGCAAATAGACTGGTCAATTGGGACTCGAAGGATATTTAGATCAAGTGTGATTCGGCTCAGTGAACCCCAAATTTTTTACTAATGTCACCAGATTGCGGATGTGGTTAGACCTAGTTATGCTGACAGAAATGGTGGCCGAAATTTTCAATATACATACCGGAACCAGAAGACCCTATCATCATCATCATCAGCAGCAGCAGTAGAATCAGCAGAAGCAGCAGCATACGGGTCATCATCAACATCCGAGTCATCCGAGTCATCATCATCATCATCATCATCAGCATCATCATCATCATCATCATCATCGTACAGTGAAATACAGTGAAGCGAACTTCAATGATTGCTGCCAAACTCGCAATACGTACAAGATTAGTACGGTATTAGTATGGTATAATTTAAGGTGGACAGGGATTGAACATACTTTAAGGAAGGAGGAAGAAGGAGAGCCACTATGCTCAAGACGCAGATTTCGCAATCGAACTCTGCATACATATCGTTTCAAGCATTCTGGCCAGAAAAGAAATTACAACAAGAAAGCCACTGTTGTCGGTTCGCTGCCATATCCTTCAATGTCTCCAACCAACTAGTTGAAGAGTATTTCGGACCCCAACCTGGAAGGCGCGTGACACCTACCTAATACCTCTGTGTATTTCTTCACGCCTCTTCTCCACGACATATGTTGGCCTCCACGTGATTCCCTCCAGCCCCGAGCGGATACGGCGCATACGGCGGGATGTGAGAGACGGTAGTTGCGCATACGCAATGCGTGCCCTAGCCAGCGAAACCAACTAATCTGAATTCGATGTGCTAGGAGGTTTATGTCTGACAGACGTCGAAACACACGACGGCTCACCTCTAGATTACTAACCCGCTCCATCCCACATGGGCTAAACTGCGTAAATACCGATAGTCAAAAACCTCTAGTTGACGGATATCTTGTACTCGCAGATTCCAGGTCTCACAACCATAAAGCAGAACTGAACGAACGCTAGCGCAATATGCACGACCTTTCAACTTCAGCGAAACGTTGCGTCTACGCCAAAGGTGTTTTAGTCCTGCGTATGCTGCTCGATCCTTGGAAATGCGAGCGGCTATCTCCTTTGCTGCACCTCCGTCATTGGTCATGCAACTACCCAAGTATGTAAAGTGATTCATTAGAATAATTCCTGGCCGTTTAGTTCCAGAGGGCGGGTAGGCGACATTCGGTCTTGTAGCATCACTTTGCACTTTGAAGGTTAGAAGCACATACCGTATGTGGAAACTACACTTGTTAATCTATCAAGTGCACTTTGTGCGTCTTTCAAACATTCGAACAGACAGACGATGTCATCGAAAACGAAAGACTCCGAATGAATTTGAAACAGGAGAAAGCTTTTACATATACATATTGTGATGGAAAGTGGTAAAAAGAGAGCCCCGGCTAGCGAGCGAATCAAGAATAGGGCCCA